TGAAGTCTTTCAATCTAGAGTGACTGTCTTTCTAAAATATGCTTTAGTTTTAACAAGAAACTATAGGGCTGATGCAGGATTCACAGTAATTCCTGCAGTCTGTTATGTCAGGTCAGATTAGCATTGTGATGCAGGCAGATCAGATGCCAGCTCATGCAAAGGTGTCAGACCTCTCTGATCACTAATAAATACATAGCTGGAAAGCAGGCTGGTTTACCTCTGGGTTAGTAAATAGATGTTAGTCTTATAATAATGTGTTCAGTGTGTAGACTTTATGGAATGTTTGTAGGATGTTGGAGGTATTAGTCCTGCTTATAAAATCTGTATCCCATACTATAAGGTAATAAGTGTTTGCTTTATAACTGAATGTTTGTTCTGAAACACTGTAATTTATCAGACAGGAAAAACCCCTCACCTAACGCAGAATGCCAGATCCCTACAGAAAGTTTTATCCCCTTCGGGAAAGACTGTTTTGCTCCAAACAGGCCATTTTAGAACAAAGATTTTGTTGATTTATCTGCATTCCAGCTAAGAGAGGTTTTGTGCAGAAGCTAGACTCTAGCTTGGACTCTAGCAAGATGTTGATAAAAATAGCTGACCAGCAAGAATTGTGGTCTATGATTTTTGGACAACAAAAATTCCCAAACATAAGCAAGATTAATCTGAGTTTACTCTAAAGGATATACAAAGCTGGCATATTTCAAGAGCCCTATCACCATCTTATACCTAAAACTATATTTGTATGTGTGCGTTCATCTGTTTTAAGTGTGTAAACATCTCACTCCATGTTCCTTCTTAATAAACCTTGAGTTAATTACAGGATTGGCTACAAGTGTTGTCCTTGGTGTGAGATTTAAGGTGCAAATTGACCTGAAGTAAGTGACTAGTCTTCTGGGACTGGAAGTCACCAGAATATTTTTTAACCTTTGGTTGTAAAATGACCATCTGTCACAGAATTAAGCTTGCCTGGGTGGCAAGCTAAATCAGATTGCTCAGGGGACTGTCTGACTCTCCGTTAAGGCTATGTAGATCCTGCGGAGTTTACACATGTTGCTTGGTTGATGAAATCTAATGACAGGAGACCCTTGCGATTCACGGAATTGCTGTACACACGATTTCATGTACTCATGGGTCTCGCCTGTCCCCGCATTGAACCCGTTCTCCTGGACTGTGGGAGAGATGCAGCCGCAGGGTCACCTGTTGCTGGATGGCAGCAGCATTCAGGGTCACCTGCCTGCACTCACCGCTGCAGCCAGGAGCCACTGGGAGCTCACAGTTGGCACCAGACCCCATGGTGAGTTCCCCGCAGCTCCCGGCACTGCAGAGGCTGAGAGCCACAGGGAGCATACTGTGGCAGCTGGGAGCTGCTGCCTCCCGTATTTGTGGATTTCACCATTCATGATGGTACCAGGAATGCATCCACTGTGAATGGTGAGGGGTTCTGTATAGAACTTACAACCTGTTTGGGGTTTGTGCCCAGCTTCTTAACAGTCTACCCAGACATTGGTACTATAGTTTGTAATCTACGTCAGATAGTATGGCAATCATAATTATCCCTTATGATTTTAAAGTATGCTCATGTGAATCTACAGTCACTTGCAGACAGGATCTTTGAACTTTCAGGTTTTCAACCATTTCCTCCTTGTTATTCTACTATATAGTAAAATTTCCCACACTTAATCACTCATAGCTTCCTCTAACTTTTTTCAAGAAGCTGCACTGGTGAACTAGTGTTTATTTTTTTAAATCCTGGCTTAAAATCCCATTAGAAACGGGCCCTGTAATTCTGACACACTGTTTATTCCAAAGGTTCCTTGTGGGTTCTTAATCATGAATTGATGGTGTAATAGCATATTCTTGAAAGCTTTAAGGCATTTAGGTCATATTTTTACTGCGATTAAACTATGTATATATACGCAGATTTTTACTGCGATTAAACTATGTATATATAGCTCTTTTTAAAAGTTGTAAAGTTTGGCTGATGGATGAGGAATGCAGTTCCTTACAGAGGAAGCACACTACTCCTTTGCTGAGACTTTAGTTTGGTTTTGTCCTTTTTTTGTTGAATTCTTTAAAATAAAATACATCATTCAGGCTGAAAGCAAAGGGTTATTTTGTGTGTATGGAAAAGACAGTCCAAATGTCACTGGAAACTCTCAGCTGGAAAAGCCTTGAAATAGTTTCCTAATGAAGTAAAACCTTCATATAGATAGGATTTTACAAGCAGTTGAACCACACACTAGAAAATACATTGTAGGGAATGATCCAGAATGGTGTGTTTGTCTGTTTATTCATTTATGTATGTTTAAATGTATACTTTGTAAATTGTCAGCTCTCTGGAACATAGGGTCTGTCTTTAGTTCCCAGCAGATGGATTAGATGATCTAATATAAAGTAATGAAATGTAATAACTTACAATAAATTGTAAAGGAAAGCATGCAGATCCAGTTTATGGAGATTCTTACTGCCTCTTATAATCTTGGGGGGAGGAAGGGAAGAAGAAGGGGAGTCTCCAAACCTGAAAACAACCTTGATGTTTATAGTTATGACCTGACTATACACCCTTATTCTATAAACAGTCAGAGTATCTTTAGTAGGACAACTTGTGTACATAAGGGCTGCAGGTTCAGTTCTTTGGATCATTTCTTTGTTGTGTTGTGTGTGTGGACTTTGACAATGACTCATTCCTTTCTCAGCACAGCAGTGACATGCACTCGGTAACTAGCTCTGCTTCTTGCAATTTGTAAAATTACTTGGAATTATCATGTGGTTTATTCTAATGGGATGGCTCACCCAGCTACGGCCTCCCTTAAGAAAGGGTGGAAAAAACTGTGGCAACTCAAAATGTTTCAAGGTGCAACAGGTGAAAACTCCAGTTTTCATCATAGTAATTTTATGGATGCAAATCATGGGAAATTAATGCTGCTGAGAATAATACATCTGATGCTTTTGAAATGAAGTGTTGGCAAAATCAACAAAATTAAACTTACATGCTTTGGTAACATTAAGCATAGAGATGGGAATAACCTTGAGAAAGTTATTATGGAAGGAATGATGGAAGTTTATTGTAATAGATGACCAGCACAGAGATGGATGGATGGTGTGCAACAGATCACTAGAAGGTCAGCTGCTGAGTGGTCAGATTTAGCACTGGATCACAAAGGCATCAGGAAATTCTGCTATAATGTCACTGCTAACCGTGGATGAGCAAATGGATTTGCTTACAATAGCAAAAAATACTGTGACATTAAGCACGCACAGGCACAGTACAAGGAGCACTGAGGGACTCTCCAAACAGAAGCTGAATCATTTCGCAATCATAAGAGAATGGGATATTTTTCAAATTATTCAAAAGTACAGGAGCTTTCTAAGGACAAAGAGCCCATGTCCCAAGTTGGCAGGTTTTCAGCCACTTAAAGCTTTATAGTCACTTTAAAGTTCCCTCAGAAATAATATTCAGTCACTAGGTCAGGAATAGTCAGTAGGTAGATCATAGGCCAAATCCAGACCACCAGATGCTTTGAACGGACCCAAAAATCTTTTTATTTATTTATTATCTCTATTGTTGTTTTTTAATTATTTTCTATGGAGTCTGGACTTTGACAAAAATAACTGACTTTCCCTGCCAGTAGATTCTGGAGCATTGGTGTCACATTCCCACTGAGAAACACAGCTTTCTGAACCAGCTTTAATTCCAAATAGATTTAAGGTGTTGCCTGATTAAGAGCACAGTGCAATAGTCTACTGTTTAGGCGATGGACGTACAATGGTAACGGGGTCTACACAGTGAGTAGAGAAAAGCTTGAGATATCCTGGCACCCGATAAAGTCTCAATCACACTTCACCCGATAAAGTCTCAATCACAGCCACTGCCTGATTATTTAGCAGCAGCATGAGTGGCACTTAGCAGCAGCGGCAGCCCTCCTGGCCCCCCAGTGCTGCTGCTTGTGGCCCCACCTGAGACTACCAACTTCCAGACGGCGTGAGCTAGGAGCAGGCAGCGCAAGTCCAGGGTTGGAAGTATCCAGGCTGGAGCATGCCACCATTTAATCAGTTAACCAGTTAAACTTAATATTTAACCAGTTAACTATGGGAGTTTACATCCCCAGGGCTCAGCTATACTGCCTCCCTTCCCCCCCCCCACTTACCTCTGTCCATACCACTCACCACCCAGACTTGAGCAGCAGCTGGGGGTGTCTGAGGCAGGGTCTGTTTAAGAGGGTGTGCTCCCCCTTGCTGGCTGGTGTGGGGTAGAGTCTCTGGATAGGCACACTCACTCCCTACATCAACCAGCCCAACTGTGGGGTATGTATGCGTGTTCCATGTGTTGGTGCAACATCTGTTAAGAAGGGGGCATGCTCCTGCCTGTTTGGCCTGGTCTGTGAGTAAGGGGTGTGCTCCTACTGTGTCAGGCTGCCCTATTCCTGATGGGAAATATGAACTAGTGGAGGGATGGGGAAGGGTGCGTGTGTGTTGTGTGTGGATGGACTGAAATAGCTGGGGACAAGAAGGGAGGGCTGTGATGGGTGAATGAGCCACCAGGAGGAAGGAAGGGTGTGAGCCTGGGAACAAGCCAGCTGAGAGGCCGGGTGTGGGAATAAGTGAAGGGAGGGGAAGTGTGGGTGGGGGGGGGGAAGAGCCAGAGTGAGGCCATGGGATGAGGGACATGCACGTGGGGGGATGAGTGAAGAGAGGGAATCATACGTGTGCACGTGGGGGACCGTGTACTGGCTCCCTGCCCCCCTCCCCACGAGAAGGGGGGGAGGGAGCAGCCCGCTGCGAGCCGCTCCTCTCTCTGTGCGTGGAGAGGGGAGGGGCGTTCTGCTACCGTGCCTGAGGGCGGAAGAACCCCCCCCCCCCTTGCTCAGGCGGCTCCCATTGGCTACATTTCCCAGCGGGGCGTGGCCCAGGGGGGCAGACACCCAATCCGAGGCGGACGGCTGCTGCGGCGGGCCGCTTCCCCCCCCCGGCTCCTCGCCTGGGAGCAGAGCGGCGCTGGGGTTGCGCTGCCCGCGGTGCTGAGGAGGGGGGGGCGCCTTGCGCGCGCGCCCGGCGGGATGGAGGACGCGCTGCCCGCCGGCCTGCTGGAGATCTGCGTGCGGGTGGGAGCCCCCGGGGAGCGCCTGCGAGACGCCTGCCAGGTACCGCCCGCCCGGCAGGGTGTGACCGCCCGCCAGGGGACGGCGAACCGCTCCCCCTCAGGGGTGTGTGTGTGGGGGGGGGGGGGGGTTACAGCCGCACGCTGCGGGTACGTTGTGGTGCCCTCCCTGCCGCCCGCCCCCCCTCAGACGAGGCTTCGTGAGACTGAGGCGCCCCCGCTCTCCCCCCCTGAAGCGGCGCCCGCCCGGGCTGCGCGCGCGAGCCCTTCGCGCGAGCGCCGCTGGCCGTTAGCCACGGCGGTTGAGCCGACGAGCCCTGCCAATCCGCCGGTGCACGTGCACCCCCCCTCCCTTCCCCCGTCCGCGTGCACCCCCGGCTCAGCCTATGCTGAGGACACAGGAATCCCTCCCCCCTTTGCTGCCTCTGTATCCGCTGCCTCCTGCCGCTGGGGGAGAGAGCGGGGCTGGCAGGGAGCTCCCTACCAGTGGGGTCCGAGCACGCTGGCTGCTCGCCCCACCTCCCGGGACTAACCCGGAGTCATGTAACTGCTGCTGTTCGCTGTGGCTGCAGGACTGTTCAAGGACATGCTACTGACACCCCATCTAGAACTCTTGCGAATTTGCGGATATCCACTTCATGTAGCCACCTCCGTGGCTATGGATGCCCATATCCGTGGCTCGTTGTTATGGGTCCAGATGCAAATACCAATTTTGCAGGGCTCTGCAGGCTCACTATTTTCTATGTAAGTGGCCTGATTGCCGTTAGATTGGGCAGTATTCCACACCCTGAAGGTGAGTGGTTACACACTGGACTCATATCACCACTAGGCGGGTGGCTTTTGGAATTCAGACATCCCATTGCTTAGTGATAGAAATGTAGCCGTGTTAGTCTGGGGTAGCTGAAGCAAAATACAGGACTATGTAGCACTTTAAAGACTAACAAGACGGTTTATTAGATGATGAGCTTTCGTGGGCCAGACCCACTATTTGATCTGAGGAAGTGGGTCTGGTCCACGAAAGTTCATCATCTAATAAACCATCTTGTTAGTCTTTAAAGTGCTACATAGTCCTGTATTTTGATCCCATCGTTTGTGTTTATAGTGTAGAATCAGAATCCTAGGAATGGAAGGGACCTTGAGAGGTCTTCTAGTCTAGTTCCTTGCACTCAGAGCAGGGCTACGTATTATCAAGACAATCCCTGACAAGTGTTTGTCTTCCCTGATCTTAAAAATCTCCACTGACAGAGAGCCCATGCAGAGTATTCAGATAAAATTGGATTGTCACAGACGTCTTGGGATAGTTAGCATCTAAATGATCTTATCAGTTCTTTTCATTTCTTTTACATTGTTTCTGTGGCTATCGGACAATTTTCAGCAGCATTGCCACATTGCTAGGAAATTTAGGCTTAGGAATTGACTTTGTAGTTAAGTTTTCCTTTCTGTTTGCATATTTTTAAAAACAAATTTGTTAGGAAGGTTATCAGTTTGTGTTTTTATCCATGCCCAAGAATGGCCGGACTGAGGGCATGGGCGAGCTGGGCAGCAGCCCGGGGCGCCAACCGATGGGGGGCACCTGATGGCAGTTGTAAGGGGCGTGCGGTGTCCCTTACAGCTGCCATCAGGCGCCGCCCCCCCGGCGCTGCGCCCGCAACACTGGCCAGCAGCGCCCTTCCCCCTACGGCCGTGGGACCCTGCACAGCCCGGCGCGCATGCCAGCAGCAATCACCAAACCAGGCTGGGCAGCACATGTGCCGTGTGCCCCAGGAGCGGGCCCCGGGCTGCATGCCAGAGGCCGTAGCTGGGCCGCGCATGTGCCGTGCTCCCTGGGGGGCGGGCCCGCGCCCCAGGGGCGGAGCTGCACATGCGTTGTGTGTCCGGGGGCGGTGCTGCGCGCCCAGGCCTAGGGCGCCAAAAGGGCTTGAACCGGTCCTGATCATATACAGTTTTTATTATTTAATGTTTCTTGTCCATCTTCCACTAGACGCAGAAGGAAAGGAATACAGGTTGTACTCTTCCAAAAGTTGGCATTCTCTGTGCTGGCAGCATTCTTGGTCTTGCAGGACCACGGATGCTCCTGAACCAGAAAGCCCAGGACCTAAGGGAGGAGGGCCAGCTGGGTTGGGCATTAGGCTCAGCAGCCTGGCTGGGAGCACCACGGGATGGGGACGGAGCCCTGCAGCAGCCTCCAGCAGCCCCTGGGAGTGCAGAGCTGAGGCCTGAGCACGGTGGTAGCATGGGGTTGGAGTCCCCAGGAGTGCGAGGCCAGAGCCCTGTGGCTTCCCCTGGTTGTGTGGGGCTGGGGCTGCATGGGACTGGGGTTGGAGCCTCCCAGCTGCGCACTGCCATGGCTGGGGTCACGGGTCACAGCCCCAGCCCTACGGCTTCTCCCACGTGCGCAGGGGATAAAACTTCTTGTATTTAAATTGCTGTGTTGAGACTGTTCTCTAAGTCATTAATTTCAGTTTAGCTCAGGTTAATTGGTTCCAGTACACTGGTGGTTGGTGCAGTTGATTCTGAATTAAAGCAAACTTTGGGAACATCGTTCACTTATTACCCATTGTTTTCATTTGAATTACAAGAAGAATGGGTTGTCTTTATTGCTCCTGTTAAATGTACTGCTGGGGTTTGTTGGAACATCTACATACTGCCGGACTGTGGGAAAGATGTTAGTAAGAGGTGGGCAAAATAGCAAGTCTCTCTTTACACAAATCTTACTGCTCCGCTTGACATAAAAAACAGGTGGTGCCAAGACGAGGTCTTTGAGATTCAGGGTTTTGTAGTCCAGGATAATACAAGAAGCTTTTTTCAGGCAACAAATGCTATATGTGGGCCATGCTCCAAAGACCCAACCTCTGTGTTTTCAGGATGGCTCCACCCTCCTCAGGGACAATGCAGCCATTAAACAACACTGGAAGACCCTACTAAGATGCAAATCCATGGTCTCTCAAGACATCGTTGAGTTTATTCCACAGTGCTCAGCAATGGGACACCTTTCTGACCCACCCTCCCCATCTTTCTGAGGCAGTTCGGTGTGCCATCACTCAGACAAAAAAAATCACAGGGCACTAACTGCAGAGAGCATCCCAGCTGAGGCTTTTGAAGCTGGTAGAGCAATGCTCCAGCACAAACTCTGCCAATTACTCAACAAAATCTGGACCTGTGAAGAAATTCCACTTTACTTTAAGAACACTGACATAGTCCAACAAAGGGGACAAAATGTTGTGTCCCTTCTCTTGATTGCAGGGAAGATTCTTGCCTGAATCCTACTAAACCACCTCCTTTACCTTTACTCCTCCCCAAATCACAGCCATCCTGAGGTACAGCTGACATCATCTTTGTGGCACAACAGGTTCAGGAGAAGTGGCGAGAGCAACACCAGGAACTGTTAATGGCATTCGTCAACTTAATCCAGGCGTTGGACTCTTATAATTGCGATGCCTGATGGAAGGTACCGTGTATCTTTGGCTGTTCACAGAAATCTATTTCCATCATCAGAGGACATGATTGGATGACTGCTACCATTTTGTGCTATGATTCAGAGATGAAGCCATTCATCATTCACACTGGTGTCAAGCAGGGCTGTGTCATTGCTCCAACACTCTTCTCCATTTATGTTGCTATGATCCTGATTGTCAGTCACAACTGTTTTCCTAACAGAATCAAAATTAAGTATCGTATGGATGGCCATCTCCTCAATCTCTGACCTCTATAAACAGAAATCTAAGATCACGAGAATTGGCATCACTGCGCCAGTATGCTAATGACTGTCATTCTTGCACACACAGTGGCTTACCTGCACAACACCCTAGCTCTTTTTGCAGATTCCTATCACAGCCTGGATCGGTCAAGATCCCAAGATTGGGAAAACCACACCTCACCTGCATAAACTATTCTTTGTACTCCACAAATCACCATCGGTGGAGAACCATTGGAAAATATGGATCATTGTTCTGTACCCTTGGCAGCCACCTCTCCCAAACAGCATTGATACAGAAATTGAATACAGGACCTGCCGTGCCAGCACATCTTTTGGAAAACTATTCAAATGAATCTTCAGTGATAAGTATCTATAAACTGGTACATAATCTGGGTGTCCTTAATTTGGGAACACCTATGCTACAGACCCTGGTAGGCTGTGATGGAAACAGTGCTGCATGGTGCCAATTCTCCCTCCCTCCCTCCCTGACCCAGCAAAATCTTTAATCTGGAAAACTGTGTTTCCTAGGGTTGCTGAAGTAAAGAGGTTCAAGTGTACTAACATCTCGATTTATAAGGCAGCTATATCCACCCTTCTCTGTTGATATGAGACTTAGGTAACTTGCAGATGACATCTCAAGTGACTGGAGTGGTTCTAGCAGCACTGCCTTGAGGATTCTCAGGATCAGGTGGGAAGACTGATGCACTAGCATCAGCGTACTATCTGTAGCCAACATCAGCAGTATAAAAATGCATGTTGTGAGATACCATCTCTGCTGGGCTGGCCACTGTGTCTGTACGCCTGACACTTGCCTCCTGAAGCAAGTAGTCATCTCTCAGTTAAGTCAGGGAGAAAGGGCTCGCAGAGGGCAACGGAAGCATTTCAAAGACATACTGAAAAGTACATCTTAAAAAGGGAGACATCAACCCAACAAAGCAGGAGTACAGGCAGTCCCCGACTTACGCGGATCCGACTTATGTCGGATCCAGCCCGTGTCCTCCGGGGCGAGAAAAGCTTCTCCCAGTCTCCCTGGTCTGCTGGGGGGGTCCAGCGGCTTTGCTGGACCCCCCAGCAGACCAGCTGGACAGGAGCAAAGCCAGAGGGGCAGCTAGTGCGCCCCCCCCCCCCAAGCAGACCAGGCTTTTGTTACGGGACGCCTCGGGTAGAGCAGCTGGGGTGCTGCCGGGTTGGTCCTGTGGGAACCTACCGGGCAGCGCCCCAGCTGTTCTGTCCCAGGCTCCAGATTCAGCAGCTGTTGAAACTGATCAGGCTGATTCCAGGAAGCTGGGGTCAGAGCAACTCTGCCTCCGGCTTCCTGTAGTCAGCCCCTGGTCAGTTTCAGTGGCAGCAGCTGAATCTGGAGCCAGTTCCGACTTACGTACAAATTCAACTTAAGAACAAACCTATAGTCCCTATCTTGTACGTAACCCGGGGACTGCCTGTACTTGTCATGGAACAGAACACAGTGGTGCCACGCCTACACCAAGCTACAGCTCACTATGAGGATAACAGGATGTCAAAAGGGAGGAGAGTGGGTAGGTATTAGGATAGCTCACTGAGCACATCTGTATTTCCAGTAGTAATACTGGAAGCTATTGCCACAGTAGACGTCTGATTTTGGTCACTTTAATAAGCAACTTACTTGGCTGAGCAGTTTTTAGACTTGTACGAAATTCTTTACACCAGTGTTTCTTAAACTGTGTTCCGGGTAACACCGGTGTGCTGCGAGACAGTCAGAGGTGTGCCGCGGAGAACAGAGTTCAAAATGACCGCTTTTTTTTTTCTCCATTACTTTCCCTCTCCCCCTGCCTTCCCTCCTTTTATTTTTGCTGAACAAAAAAATTCCTTGGTGTTCCTCAAAAAAAAAAAAAAAAAAAAATTATTGTTGGGTGTTCCTTGATCTTAAAAAGATTAAGAAACACTGCTTTAAACAGGGTGTGTCTAGACTACCTAGTTTTGTCGACAAAAGTGGACTTTTGTCGACAAAACTATACCAGCATCTACACTACCGCTGAGTTCAGTTCTGTCGACATAACGTTGACAGAACTCAGCAGTTTTGTCGACGCTGGTATACCTCATTTTACGAGGCATAACACCTTCTGTCGACAGAACTCTGTAACACTGTGCCTGTAACACTGCGTCCAGACTACGGAGTTCTGTCAACAAAGCAGCTTGCTTTGTCGACAGAACTCAATGTGTCTGGACGCTCTTTGTCGACGGAAGTTTTGTCGACAGTATCTGTCGACAAAACTTCCGTCGACAAAACGCGGTAGTCTAGACGTACCCACAGTGTGTAAGGTTGCCTCTACTTATTTAATTAAGCCCTCTCTTGTGTCTTTAATTACATGTTCTCATTCTCTTAACTTTGAAGTCTTAATTTTTTGTGTGTATTATACTAAAGAAGGATACATTTTCTAAAAAAAGTCTTAATCTCGCTGCACATGCTTAACTTTACTACTAATATTCATAATAGTTGTGTCAATGATGTCAGTGGGACTACTTGTGGACTAAAGTTAAGCATGTACATAAGTTTTGCAGGGCCCAAGTTCCAGTGTTTTGTCTCCCCCTCCAGTGAGACTTATGCTAGGAACAATGTTATATTACACTGGCAAAGCATTCCTAGTCGGAGACAGCTGTATCAGCAAAACAAGCTGAACTGCTGACAATATAGCATTATACCTGCATCTATAAGAGGGAATCATGCTGACTGACTTTCCTATGTCTTCTATAAAAATAATTCTTTTGCTTTTTACTCTCTGATGGAATAGATTAAATGCAGTGTATATGGCAAGGAGCATTGTAAGAGCTTTAATTAAATGTGATATCAGAGCATATCATGCCTTATAGTATGAATATATTCAGTGCCATGAAAAACATGCAAGATAAAAACATGCCCTCCCATGGAAGATTCCAATGTGAGGCCACAATCACCGAGCCAATTTTAAAGATGACTGGGACATTAAAGATAGCTATATAGATGACAGAGCACACTGGAAAACCATAAGTTATGGAAGCTTCAGAAGGTAGCCAAGTTAGTCTGTACAGGATAAACTTAAAAAACAGCAAATGGTCCGGTAGCACTTTATAGACTAACAAAACATGTAGATGGTATCGTGAGCTTTCGTGGACACAGCCTACTTCTTCAGATGACCAGACTTCAGATGACCGGACTTCAGACTCTGGATATGTTCTTTTTTCTCACTCTTTGTTTTTATGTGGCGTGTTTAAGAGACCAGGTGTGTGAGGTGATATATTTTATTGGACCAATTTTTGATGGTGAAGGAGACAAGTTTTTGTTCATGCACAGCGGTCTTCTTCAGGTTCATTTATTTAACACAATTAGGTAATAGCCTCTTGAATTTTCATGTACTTAATGAAAGTAGTGCAGTACTTATGGGGCAGTAACATGTGCTTCACTAGGCAAGCATGTAGTACTGTGTACTTTTTATAAAAAGAAAATCCACTAGAAGTTAGGGGAAGTTATGGATTTCACAAGATGGACAAGGAAATGGATAGCAGAAGTTGTACTCTTCTGTCTAGGATCAAGTGTATTTAAACTTTTGTATTTTAATATTTTATTTATATCATAATAAAAACTAGCCACATTTTCTGTAATACTTACCAAAATACACAAATCTACAAACTTTCTCTAAAAAAAAAACATGAGATTTTTTTAACAGATTTTTCAGAAAAGTGAAAGTTTGAAAAAGAAGTTAACTTACTGTAAATGTCTGGTAACAACTCTCACAATCTGCTCTCTTCCTCAGAGGGCTCTGTGTATCTTTGCTGGAGCCCTCTGGAATCCTCTGCCTGCTTTCTATTACTCAGCTTTGAAGTTTTGGCTTTTATTTTGCTGAAACAAAGTGCTATTATTTCTGGTTTGTCTGGAAAGTAGACAAAGCAACAAGAGGCTCTTTCTCTCCTGGAGGGCTGGTATACTATTTCCAAATAATTGTCTGCACCTGACAAGTGAGATAATGTATCTAAGATGTGTTAATGGCATGTCAGTAGAAAAATCCTAATAGTTACTTTTACTCTACTGAAATGAGCTGAGTTCCCAATGTGGAAGTAGTGACACTCTTATAATGTCAACAGGAGCATTGTTCACCTTATAATGCTCATTCTGGAATAAGCATTTGAAAATTAACCCAGGAATATAAGCCAGGCGTACAAATTTTAAGGTTTTTTTTTGCACTGCCAGAGAAAGTTAAAGGAGCCTTAACTTAAAGAACAGTATGGCCTTGTAAATGCTTATGGTGCTTTGCAGTTTAGCACTGGTCTAAATTTGTGGACTGAAAAAATTGTGTCAAAATCTGCCAGTTTTAACTGTTTGCTACTGATCTTTTTGGAGATGGGCAGTAGCCAGTAAAAATTGTGAGTTTGAGACCCCAGCCCTCACTTGCTATTCAGTTGCCTCCAACGTAACACAGAGCATCTGGCAGCATATATTTGTTGACTAATAACTAGGGATGTAAAATGCTGGTTAATCAGTGAACTGGTTCAGCAATACCCCCCCCCCCCCCCCAGGCTCTTGGGGTTGTCAGCTCCTGTGGGGTTGGAGCAGGGGCTGCTCTTGGGTACTAGTTAACCAGTACCAGATAAGCATTCCCTGGTAAGGATGACACTTACCAGGTAACGCATTCACATCCCTACTTATAACTAGAAGCAAAGGGTCAATACTAACTACATTACAGTTAGGCAGAGGGGGTTTGGGGATTTCCTCCAGTGCTCCCCACTACCATTCTCCATCCATTGTACTGTAGTTTAAATAAATTACCGAAATAATTGAACCAGTTTGATTATATTCCATTATTTTGATGTAGCATTTTGCAAAAATGTAAAATAGTGACTCCACACTTTATTTTTTTGGTGCATAATTTTAGTTTTTTTTTTTTTTTTTGGTGCAGAATTTACCTAGTGAGGCCCAGTTTCCACATATTACTAGGATCCACTAAATTTGATCTTGAGATTTTGTGGCCTCAGAATTAATTTTTCTGCTGCTGTGGAGTTAGAAATGCAACTTTTCAAAACTGGCTCCTCCACTCAGTCTCAGGCATGGAAGGGAGTAGCCTCCTTAACCCTCTTCTGAAATCTTCCAGGGTAAGTTGTTACAAAATGAGAGCAAGAGTTTGTAGAGCTGTAGTTTTTTATAAAGCTATTTTCCAAAAAGCATTGTAATTTGATGCATAAATTTATAGGATCTGGCCGCATACCTCTCTATACATCAGAGGGAAACTCATTAATGTCAGTAGCTACTGTATTACACCCTTAATACATTAAAATGCCTCTCATCATTTTATTTGTGATAGTGTTGGTAGCATGCAGTTTTTAACGCCAGTATAAAATTGTGTGGTAATGAAAAAGTATAGTCTTTTTGGATTAGTAAAAAAAGACATAAAAGTGTAACTTTTTATTAAACTAAGGATACAATTAAGGAAATGTGTGTAGACCCTGCACAAAATTTGTATCCACATCTGTATCTGTATTCACAAAAATGAGCTATGGATATCTGCATTGATATCCACTGATGTGCATATCAGCAGATAGAAAGCAGATATCTGTAAATTTGTAGGGTTCTAGATATAACATTTGTATTGGCATCTACATCCATATCTGCAAAAATGAGCTGCAGATACCCATGAATATATAGCAGATATTTGCAGGGCTTTAGAGATGTGCACATATTTTCCGATTCTTGTTTTTCTATCTTTATGAAAACTGTAAGGCAAAATAGAATTATTTGACTCTGTTCTTAACACATGAAAAGTTAAAGTATCTTATTGCTATGTGCTTATGTTGCTTACTGTGACGTAGTGTGGGTACCTTGCTGGTTGCTAGGCTTGGGCTGTGGGTGACCCCCACTGGCTGCTGTCTGTACCATGGCCCAGCGGAGTAGCTAATGGGGCAGGGAGGTAACCTGTTCTACCAGTTACCCTCCAGGAAGAGGAACAAAGGAAGGTGGAATGCCGCCCCTGACTGGGGGGCAGGGCTGGAAGGGACGGCTTTTAATTTCTGTCTGGGAAGCAGGGGAGAAGGAGCTAGGGAGGGGGCTGGGATTGTAGGGCCCAGCCACCCCCCATCTCAAGGGGGGCCACTGAGGCCTCCTAGCCCCAGTTCCTGTAACCAGATTACATCTGTGCTGTGCTGTATCCTGGAGAAGCAATAAACTCCCTCTATTCTACTGGCTGGTGGAGTCTGTTCATTCTTACTACGGGGGTGCAGGAGTCGGGGGACTACGATGCGCCGTCACACTTACCAAAGAAAAATAATTGATAATGAGTCTTGAATTGTGAATAGATTAAGATTACTGGTCTAATGCTGTTACCACTGAAGACAAATGGAATCTTTCCATTGGCTTCAGTGGGATTGGGATAGAGTCGTGGAAGGAAAAATGAAGAAACTAGGAAAAACAGTATTTTCTTGTTACATGGACAATCACTATGGCAGAATGGAAAATAAAAAGAACAATAATATGTCTACTTATTTTGGTTTTAGATTGCTCAGAAAAAAGAGAGAAACTCTTCCTCCCTTGAGCCAGAAGTTCTGTCAGTTTTTGTACCTCCGTTTATCAGCAAAGAGGATATTCAGGCAACTAGTACAAATAATAATAACTTCAATAAAGGAAAACGACGTTCTTTCCGAAAAAAGAAAGAGAGACCTAAGTTTGAAAATGTGAAAAATCCAAATGGGGAACAGAAAGCAACAGATACTGAAGATATTAGTGTTCCAAAAGATATTGATCTTATTGGCTTACCGCAGCTATGCTTTCCAGGTATTATGTGGTTTTCATTTAACGGTTAATTGATAAATGTTTATAAACATTTTATATATTTGGTGGCCTATACTACTACTACTACTGCTGCTACTAGTTAATAAATAAACACAGTCACAGACCTTTTACCTCATTGCAGCTATTTATGGATATATGAGAGTTAAATTTAATTGTATTATCATAGTCCCACGCAGCTCCAGATGTGGAGCAGGACTCCCTTGTGTCAGAGGCTTTACAAGTAGAGCAGTGGTTCCCAAACTTTCTTATGCTAGGGACCAGCCAACCCATTCACAAACTTTTGGTGAACCGGTGAACCGGTAACATTTTATTTGTATATTTGTTATGCAAATAATGAATAAGTAGATATGCAAATGTAATGTTGCCTGGCCATCTAGCCCCAGCCCAGCCCTTTGCTCCCCAGTGCCTAACACCCTTTTACCAACCCGGCAGCACCCCAGGCGTCCTGATTCAGCCGCTGCTGAAACTGACCAGCAGCGGCTGAATCGGAGACGCCTGGGGCAGAGCAGCTGGAGTGCTACCGGGTTGGTCGGGGTAACGCCGACCCTTGGCGCTGCGAGACCAACCAGGCAGCACCCCAGCTGCTCTTGGGGATGCCTGGGGCAGAGCAGCTGGGGTGCTGCTGGGTTGGTCCCGCAGCACCGCTCCTTGGCACTACTGGATCAACCTGGCAGCACCCCAGCTGCTCTCCCTCAGGCGTCCCCAAGTCAGACATTGCTGATACTGATCAGCAGCTGAGTCCAGGAAGCCCGAAGCAGAGCTGTCAATTTCAGCAGCGGCTGACTTGGGGACGCCTGGGGCAGAGCAGCTGGGGTGCTGCTGGGTTGGTCCCGCACCGCCGCTCCTCGGCGCTACTGGATCAACCAGGCAGCACCCAGGGGCAGCGCTAGGGGACCTACCCGGCAGCGCCCCAGCTGCTCTGCCTCCGGCTTCCCTGATTCAGCCGCTGGTCAGTTTTAGCAGTGGCTGAATAGGGGAAGCTGGGGGCAGAGCAGCTCGAATGGTCCGGTTGCGGAGCACTTCCAGGTTCCTGATGGTGCCAGACTATCAGGAGTGCCGGACTGCCAGATGCTGGACCAATGGACTTTTACTGTAGATGGTATCATGAGCTTTTGTGGGCACAACCGGGATTGTACCCACGAAAACTCACGATACCATCTACATGGTTTGTTAGTTTCTAAGGTGCTGCAAGACTATTCATTGTTTTTTAAGTTTTTCCAATTGCAGACTAACTCGACTACCCCTCTGAATGTTTCAGATCAAGTGAATTATACAGGTGTGCTATAATCTCTTTAAAACTCTGGTGTCCAGCCAAATCTGAAGTAGTAGCCACTATATTATCTACTGCTATAGCAAACTAACCACACTGAACTGGCCAAATAGCCACATTGTTCAGCCAGCTAGCCATACTCAACCGGCCAAATAGTCACAAGTCGCTAGTGGCTAGAGTGTTGGACAGCATGGCTTTAAAATGAAATATTACAATGGAAGTAAAGTAGCAACTGTCATAATACTTGCTATAACTGTAGGAAGGCAAGCAGCACTATTAAAAAAAGCTATTTTTTAGTAATGTATGTTTTGAAAAGTATTTGTCTCATTTGCAGGAGGGCTTTACATAACTTCTGAATCAAAAGAAGATCAGATTCATTTTCTGGTCTTCACAGATGTCTGTGGTAACAGAACATATGGTGTTGTTGCACAGTATTACCAACCTATGCAAGTATGTTTTTTAATTTACACTTTTATTTAAACTTATTTAAACATTAGGTAATACATTTTGATAGTAATATCTACTTCATTGGATAATTTGCATGAGTTATTGGACCTTTGTAGTATTAATACCAATATGGAATAACTATTTACTTTAGAACAAAAGGAAAAACTATGTAGCTCTTTAAAGACTAACGAGATGGTTTAATAGATGATGAGCTTTCGTGGGCCAGACCCACTTCCTCAGATTATATTCTGGAAGAGAATTGGCATGACCATATGTACCAAAGGAATATATATATGGTATATATGGTCATGCCAATTCTCTTCCAGAATATGATCTGATGTAGTGGGTCTGGCCCATGAAAGCTCATCACCTATTAAACCATCTTGTTAGCCTTTAAAGTGCTACATAGTTTTTCCTTTTGTTTTAGCAAAATCAGACTAATACGGCTACCTCTTTATTACTATTTACTTTAGAAGTAATTCTCACCTAGCACAATATTATGCCCATATACTCAAGCACAGTTCCCATAGAATTCAGTGGGGGTATTTGAGAGCTAGAGTATTTGAGAACATAATTTGGTTTTAAACGTATGGTGCACTGATGTTTGTGGCAAGTATACGGAGAGTCCCTGGTAAACATTCATAGCACAAATAACTTGCTTTTAGCGGGTGGATCTAATTTTTACAAACTTAAGATTTTCAGAGGATTCTAAGGGTATGTCTACACTACAAAGTTAATTCGAACTAATGTCCATTAGTTCGAATTAACTTTGATAGGCGCTACACTAGCGCTCCGCTAGTTCGAATTAAGGGGTGGGTAGCCCCTTAATTCGAACTAGTGGGAGGCTAGCCCTCCCCAGCTTTCCCTGGTGGCCACTCTGGCCAACACCAGGGAAACTCTATTGCCCCCCTCCCGGCCCCGGTCCCCTTAAAGGGGCACGGGCTGACTACGATGCCCATGCCAGGTGCAAGCCTGCCAGCCCCCAGCCAGCAGACCCTGCACCTGGCACGGCTCGAGCCAGCCACCCGATGCCCCCCAGCCCTCCCCCTCTTCCCAGAACCAGGCTGGCGGCTCCCGGGAGCTTGCCCAGGACCGCAAGGGGCGGGCCCCCGCCTGGTCCAGTGGAGACATCGTGGACCTCGTCCACGACCTCCGCACTAGGCACAGGAAAGCGGCCGTCTAGGGCAGGAGAGCTGCCAGCCTGGCCACCCAGGAGCAGGTTTGCATGAAAATCAAGGTGGTCCACTGAGACCCCCGACCCTGAGCCCTGAGCTTACAATGGCCGTACTGGGTCAGACCAAAGGTCCATCTACCCCAGTAGCCTGTCTGCCGACAGCGGCCAACCCTAGGGACCTTGGAGGGGATGGACCGAAGACAGTGACCAAGCCATTTGTCTCGTGCCATCCCTCTCCAGCCTTCCACAAACTTCGGGCAGGGACACCACTCCTACCCACTGGCTAATACCACTCCATGGACCCAACCTCCATGAATTGATCTCCCTTCTCTTTAAACTCTGTTCTAGTTCTAGCCTTCCCAGCCTCCTGCAGCAAGGAGTTCCACAGGTTGACTCTTTTGTTTTGTAAAGAACAACTTTCTGTTATTAGTTTGAAGCCTGCTACCCATTCCTTTCCTTTGGTGTCCTCTAGTCCTTTTTTATGGGAACTAATGAAGAACTTTTCTTTATGCACCCTCTCCATCCACTCATGCTTTTATAGACCTCTATCATATCCCCCCTCAATCTCTTCTTTTCTAAGCTGAAAAGTCCCAGTCTGTTTAGCCTCTCTTCATATGGGACCTGTTCCAGACCCCTCATCATTGTAGTTGCCCTCCCCTCTCCCCCCCTCTCTCTTCCCCTCTCCCACTTCCTTTTCCCAGTCTCCCCCAGTTTTGTTCAATAAAGAGAGATTCTGTTTTTGAACACAATTGTCCTTTATTTTGTACATCAGGAAGGGGGGCTAGGGAGGGGCAAGTGGAAGGAGGTGAGGGAGGAATGGGATACGAGCCCCCGATGGGGAGGACTGGGCTGGCTCTGCGGGCTTCTGGGGGTGGAAGCTCTCCTGCAGCCCCCCAATTGCCCCCTCTCCCCAGATGGCAGCCGGCGGCAAGTGCAGCCGGGCTGATGGCTGAGTGCTGTGATGTGCCCAGTGTGGGTCCTCCGGGCAATCCAAGCCAGGACTGCTTTGCAAGCAGGGCACCCCTGAGAACTGTCTGTCCGGGGGGGGGGTTGGGTCCCTTTAAGCACAGCCCTCAGCTAGCCTGAGACAGCAGCTCCACGCTCTAAATCCTCATCTGATGCCCTGCCGGCACTGCTTCAGGCCATCCTTAACCCCGGTTCAGGGTCCCCTCTGTGTGGACATGCTAGTTCGAATTAGCAAAACACTAATTCGAACTAGTTTTTTAGTCTGGATGCGTTAGTTCGAATTAGCGCTGTAGTGTAGACATACCCTAAGAGAGTTAGATGTCCAAAGCTCAATGGGAATTGGGGGTATCTAACTTGCTTAGGTTCCCTCAGAAATACGAACCATAATTTCATGAATAACATCAACAATATTAATACGTAGCTTTCTTGTAGGATGGTTCTTTCTCATCAAATGCGCAGGCCCTCTGGGAATCTAAAGCTAAAGCTTTTGGCTGCTTCGTACCATTTGCTATTTGTGTCATATCCAGATATCCATATTTTAATGCTCTTAAGGACTGTCTTTCTTGGTAAGTATTACTATTATATCATTTGTTCCTCTGCTGCAAATACATACAAGTCAGTCCTTTATGTATGACATGTCAAATTTTGACAGTATAGTTGGAATGTTCGAGTGACAATAAAACTGGAGTTTGTTCTAAGTGATTATGGCTTGAGGCAGGGTAAAGCCACCTTGATGATGATAAAACAGAAATGCAATTTCAGAGAAATTACAGTGATGTCTGTTGGGGTTCTTTGAGACTTTATATGGCTGTGCAAAATTAATATCCACAGGGTACAGATTTCTAGTATAGATTTTCTAGATTCTCCCTGGAAGATACATCTATACATCTGCCTTTTTTGGGGAAATGATTTAAATACTTAGCTGTAAACAGAATAGGTTTCACAAAAAGCATAAGTAAACTTGTCTGTAACTAGACAAATTGTGGAATAAGATAAGCTAGCCATTTCATGTGAAAGAATACATGATTATTTGGGTGCTGATGGTCTTCAGGCAAATCAGGTGGACAGAACTGTTAAGTTCCTAAATCACACTGTTTTGAGGGCTTCTCATTGAGACTAATTATCTACATCCAAAACTGTTCTTAAAATACTTCAAATTTAAAGGTGAGTCAAGAGATGGGGTGGAACTTGAGAAACTGTTTGAGTAATATAGCACTTCAATTTATTGTGGAGGCCACCAACTCAAGTTTTCACTTTTTCACCTTCAAGCTGTTTAATATATAAGCCTGTATCTGAAGTGGATTGTAAGATCCTTAGGACAAGTACTCGTCTCTTTTATTTATATAGTCCTACAGTTGTAGGCCCTCTGTAGTAATCTAAATAAATGAGAGGGAAAAAAAAGTTTCCACTGTTGTTTCCAACCAATGCTAAGTTTTATAAATGCAAAGAACCTATTTGTGAATTTGACATGAATTTGCTGAATAGTCTTCATGCTCCTCCTCCAAAAAAAAAAAAAGAGGGGGGGAGCGAGAGGCTGTGGAGGAGTCCCTTATAACCTGTAAGCCAGTGGATAGAAAACTCTTCCAGGACTTGGTTCACTCAGGTTCCGTTAACCCATCTGCCTGATGTGGAAAATGGATTTGAACTTGGGTCTTTAACATTGTAAGCCAGTGTCCTAACCACTGGGTTATGTGGGATATTTTGGAGCAGTGCTTTGTTAGTCTTGTTGAAGCTGTTTTGCTTATATACAGTTGGAGGTACTTAAACCAGCATCTTCCACGTTCTAGGGCAGGGTTTCCCAACCTATGGGTCTCGACCCAAATATGAGTCTCCATTACATTTCAAAAGGGTTGCCAAGTGTCTCCCCAGGTGGCTCTTAAGGAGCATTTACACATTTGAAAAGGTATTTTCTTTGAAGAACATTCCATAGAATGGAAAACTTGTGCGGCATTTCTGCAGCTGGCTTAGTCTTAAAGAGCCATTCACCTGAAGTGATACTCAACTCAATTGGTTTAACCCACTTCCCCGGCTGGGTTTCTCACGGCTGGCAAAATTAACTGCGCCATTGGGCACTGTGTAAATCAGGGCTACTCAACATGCAGCTGGTGCCCGTTTTGTCTGCAGCTGCCCTGGGGCTGCATCTGCACCGGTGAGCACTGTGTGCCGGGCCTGGACAGGGAGGCAGCTTAGGCCTTGTTGCGGAGCCTAAGGAAGGGGCTGGGACTGTGCTCTGTGATCCCAGGCGTAAGCGCTGGGACTGTGCTGGGGGTTGCTAGGGTAGGCTCTGGGACTGTACTGGGGTGTACCAGGGTAGGCATTGTGACTGTGTTCGGAGCCTGGGGGTAGGGACTGGGACTGTGCTGAGGGGGAGGGGTGCCAGGGTAGGGACTGGGACTGTGTTCGGGAGCTGGGGGGAGAGGCAAGGACTGTGCTGGGGTGTGTGTGCGGCAGGCCTAGGATAGAGGCTGGGATTATGTTCGGGAGGGGGGGGGAGAATTGAGTTGCAGCAATCGTGTCTCACAATCATGAAGGCTACGTCTAGACTGGCATGATTTTCTGCAAATGCTTTTAACTGAAAAGTTTTTCTGTTAAAAGCATTTGCGGAAAAAAGCATCTAGATTGGCACGGACGCTTTTTCACAAAAGCACTTTTTGCGGAAAAGCGTCCGTGCCAATCTAGACGCGGTTTTGCGCAAGAAAGCCCCGATCGCCATTTTTGCCACCGGGGCTTTTTTGCGCAAAACAGTTTTTAGCTGTTTACACTGGCCCTCTTGCACAAAAACATTTCCGGAAAAGGGCTTTTGCCCGAACGGGATCGTCAAAGCATTTGCGCAAGAAACAGTTGTGCTAGAAGCAGGAATAGGATCCAGGTTTTCTGAGGGTTAGTCTCGTATGCTCACACCTAGGCCACAAGTTCATAAAATCATAGGGCTGGAAGAGACCTCAGGAGGTCATCAAGTCCAGCCCCCAGCCCAAAGCAGGACCAACCCTAACTAAATCATCCCAGCCAGGACTTTGTCAAGCCGGGACTTTAAAATCTCTAGGGATGGAGATTCTGCCACCACCCTAGGTAACCCATTCCAGTGTTTCACTGCCCTCTTAGTGAAAAAGCTTTCCTAATATCCAACATACACCTCCTCCGCTGCAACTTGAGACCATTGCTCCTCGTTCTGCCATCTGTTACTACCGAGATCAGCCTCTCTCCATTCTCTTTGGAACCTCTCTTCAGGAAGTTGAAGGCTGCTATCAAATCCCCCCCTTCTCTTCTGCAGACTAAGTAAGCCCAAATCTCTCAACTTTTCTCGTAGATCATGTGCTCTAGCCCCCTAATCATTTTGGTTGCCCTCTGCTGGACCCTTTCCAAAGAGTCCACATTCTTTCTGTAGTAGAGGGCTCAGAACTGGACACAATACTTCAGATGTGGCCTCATCAGTGCTGAATAAAAGGGAATAATCACTTCTCTAGATCTGCTGGCAGTGTTCCTCCTAATGCACCCTAATATGCCATTAGCCGCTTTGCCTACGAGTGCATACTGTTGACTCATATCCAGCTTCTCATCCACTGTAATCCCCAGGTCCTTTTCTGCCAAACTGCTGCTTAGCCAGTCAGTCCGCTGCCTGTAACAGTGCTTGGGATTCTTCTTCCCAAGTGCAGGACTCTGCACTTGTCCTTGTTGAATCTCATGAGATTTCTTTTGGCCTAGTCCTTCAATTTGTCTAGGTCATTCTGGATCCTGTCCCTACCTTCCATTGTAAATATCTCTCCCAGTAGCTTAGGGTACGTCTAGACTACATGCCTCTGTCGCCAGAGGCATGTAGATTAGGCTACCAGACATAGTAAAATGAAGCGGCCATTTAAATAATCGCCGCTTCATTTAAATTTACATGGCTGCCACGCTGAGCCGACAAACAAGACGTACCCTGAGTCCAGTATTGGATTTGTTTCACAATCTCCAAAGCCCTTTGAAGTCTATGAGAAGGCTTCTTTTGCATGCTGTGAGTTTTGGCTAACACCTTATGTATGGTTTGCCATCGGATAGTCTGGACGCGCGGGTGTCGACATCAAAGGTATTTGTCGACCACCCAGGTAAACCTCCTGGGATGAGGCTTACCTGGGTGGTTGACAAATACCTTTGATGTCGACACCCGCGCGTCCAGACTATCGCGCTGAGCCGACAAACAGCTGATCAGCAGCCATGTAAATTTAAATGAAGCGGCGATTATTTAAATGGCCGCTTCATTTTACTATGTCTGGTAGCCTAATCTACATGCCTCTGGCGACAGAGGCATGTAGTCTAGACGTACCCCCAGTGTCATCTAGAATAGCCACAGGTTATCTATCCTGAGGAGATCTTTATTGCTATGTGGCTTTTCAAAACTGTTTTCTTGGCTTACTTTAACTTTTCTGATACCCATGCTAAAGAAGCAAGAGATTTAGGCTAAAGTTTTTAAAAGTGACTAGTGATTTTGAGTGCATTAATTTTTAGGTACTCAGTTTGAAATTCTTTTAAGGATCCCAGTTTTCGGAGAATAGGTCTTAAAGTGGCCCCATTTTCAGTTTGTGGGTGCGCAACACTTTCTGAAAATTAGGCCTCTTTAACGTGTCTCAAATTGACCATCCAAAACTTGAGGTCCCCAAAATTACTATGACTTTGGTCTGAATATCTAAATCAGGTTCTAGTATTAATTAGTTGCACTTAGACACCCAAGGTATTCTTGTTGAATTTCCTGGCAGGAGATGCAGCAGACAACTTGAGTTTTGCTTAGGAAAGGGTAGGTAGGTAAAGAAAAAGGAAGAGGTTTGTGGCAAGTGAAGTATTGAGAATTGTACCTTAAGTTGCTTATATTTGAGGACAGGAAGTCTGGGCGGGGGAGGGGAGTGCGGGGATACTGCAGAAGAAGCACATGTTCTGTTATGCAGAAGCAGTTGGACTTGGTCACTGAATAAAGATTTTCTCTTTCAGATTGGGACAGAATGATTCTTTAAAACTCCAGCAAGGGAGAGGGCACTGCATTATTTAGCTAGTACAAGAGACCTGGATTTGATATCTTTCCCCAAGCTCTTTTTTCTGGAGTTTAGAGGTCTGGGAGCTCTACAGAAGTAGTACAAGCAGTATATCTTAGGAAAAAGCAGCTTTCATTGTTCAAAATCATCCTCCCCTTGATTAATTAAGGAACATTGGTGACTAGTTCTAAATAATCATGCTTAGCCTTGCCTGGCCAAAGGGTTGGGACCAGAAAGTGAGGATGGAGGCAGAGGTGAGAAGAAATGGCAAAATCATAGTGAAAAATCACAGTGGTTTCGATAGGGAAGAGATGTTATCGTCTGAGAGGGGCCAAATTTAGGAGTGAATTTTGAAGCTGTTGGCCGGATAGTCCAGTGTTTCTCAACCAGTGGTACGAGTACCCTTAGGCGTGCTTGAGAGAAATCTGGGGGATACGTCATCACAACTGAAATTTGGAGAAAGCTGAATTTTTGTTTTGTTTTACAGCGTTTTACTATTTTTTTAGATTTTACACCCAAAAATTTTATTGCCCACCCAGCAATGATTACATTGTTTAAACGAATGTGTTGCAATGGTAGAAGAATTTTTGCGTGTCTGAAAACTGTAGGTACTGGGGGGACTTATAATTTTATTTTATTTTATTTTTGAAAAAGGGGTATTTTATTAAAAAAAAGGTGGAGAAACACTGAGAGAATCTATATAGATCGTTTAGAAGAGAAAATTAGTGTACATTTTCAATAGTGACTACTAACTCAGCTACCCCTCTGTAGTAATTTTGAGTAACTTTTAAGTGGCAGACTTGAGATACCTTGAAGAGATTCAGGTTTCAGAAATGTTGAACCCTCACCTTCCAGAGGTGTTTAAAGTTGGACAACCATAATATATTCAAATTATTAGTCACTTTTGAAGATTTAGATGCTTATATATGACTGCTGAATGGCTGGCTCAATGCTAAGAAAGGTAAAGTGTAATTATGTATTGTATCTGGGTGTAATTTTTCTTTGTCCCAATACTGGATCTTTCCTAAATAGAATACCAAATATTTCAGATAAATTTTAGATTATCATTGCATACCAACCCTCTAATTTGTTAGAAAGGACTTCCAGCACTGAAAGTCTAATATCTCCATGTTGTGATTAAAGGAGAGAGAACTCCTCTAGTTATTAGCTAGAATAAAATCTTACATATTTGTCTTCGTCTTCTAATGGCTGATGAGGATCCATATTCTCTGATTGTGGAGAACAGTTGCTGGTACGTTATTGTGCTCTTTGGGGCTCTGTTCGCCAGGCAATGTGCAAACATAGGGAAAAATATGGCCCCATTCACATGGAGCTTAAACCCCAAGTTAGACACAAACAGAGCAATGGCTATACTGAATTTAAACACAATAGCATATTTTTTTTAAACAAAAAAATCCCTTGGTTTGTGTTTTGTTAATAATCTGGTAATGTAATTTTAAAAATTGACAGTTTCTATCCACAGAAGTCAGGACATTCAAAGATATAACTTCTTACAGTTATTAATTTTTGCATGCACATTGAAGCACACATTTAATGATTATTTTCTACAATACTCTACATTTGTGAAATGATACTTTAGGAAATTAAACTTTTTTGTTTCTTGAAGTGCATTTAATTTCTCAATTGTAATGCTGTACTCATAGTAACACTTTGGATGGTGTATTTTAAATTTATAACTAAATAGTGTAAGCCTACAAAAACGAGCTAATTTCCAATAAGCTTTAGCCCTCTGTGGTTTTGAAATGACTAAGAAGTTTAGCTCCTAAAATAGCAATGTTTGACAAACTTGCACGCGTGAAGTATAAATATAATTGTGTGTGAAATATATGAAAGAACAGCTTATATATCAACATTGTTAAAATCAATTGGAGTCTCTAAATTATCTAAAGATGAAATATTTGTAATAATACTTTTATCCATGCCAATGGGTATTTTTTATTTTATTTTTTTAGTTTTCAGGTATCGATTGGTTTGTTTTTTAATCCCTTTACTTGTTTTTTAAAATAATATTTAACATACTTTAATTTCAGTTTACTGGTACATCTCAGACCTTTTAAGGATTTAGACGTGGATGATCGTATAAAAGAATTTGCAGCAAAATTGTCTTTAATACCCAGTCCTCCACCAGGAACACTCCATTTGGTAATTAGTGAAACTCAGTTCCATACTTATTTTAACATTATTTGCTTTAAAATAGTAAGTATGCTGTTTGTGTAAAAAGGGATATATTCTGTAACACCATTCTAATGCCAGTGTGATGCCATTGAAGTCAGTACCTGTGCTCTGGGGGCACAGACTGCTTTTAACCTGTTTCCTAATGGATTCATGGTAGACCAACGAGATGGAGAGAAGGTGGGGTCATAGCTCTGCTCTTTCTGTGCAGCAGATAGAGTAGTGAGGAGAGGAAGGGTTATTCAGTGGTTCAAATGCTATTCTAGTACTTGAGAAATGTGGTTCAATTTTCTGCCTTGCTACAGATGTTTCGTATAACCTCGGGTGAGTCATTTATCTTCAATCCCCCATCTGCAAAGTGAAGACAATATTTCCCTACCTTCCAAGGACCTTGTGAGGATAAATACATAGTGAGGCGCTCAGATACCATAATGGGGACCATGTATAAATGTGCTGTAAAAAGGGGTGTTTTCTTTATATGCTCATCTAGAAGCTTCAAGAGGCTGCTTTTTGAACAGTGCAGCTCTCCACAATTTCTTCTGTGAGATGTGTCTGAATGGCATGATTCTGCTCTTGATTATTAACCTTATTTATATAAAATCAACTATTATATGCTAGTTTACATTTTAAATTGTAATCAGCAAGCAGTGAAATAAAGTTTCTCAGAATAGGAGAAAAAATACTAGGTAATAAAGCAGGTGGATTCAGACATATTGCTTTGATAAAAGTAGCGGTAGCCTAGACGGAGAGAATGCAGTTAGACTAAACTTGCAGTAGACATATCTGACAAGTTCCTTAATCTCTTATCTCTTTATTATGATTATATTAAAAAAATGTATAATTTTGTAAAAAAGGTAATTTATTTTCTCAATTTTAATTGTTTCAGTATCTAAAATATCTTACTTTGTGTTTCTTTTCAGTCTAGTGCTTTATGGAGTGGCACCACACACCTGCCACTACTAGAAGCACCTCAGTTTCATCTTGGAGGGGGCAGGTCACTTCCCCACCATCATCGTCAAGTCTGACCAGAACCTACGTGGCATCAGTCTGCAAGAGGGAGAGGTAGTGGAGGAGGATGACAGTGATAAGAAGGAGGTGGCCGAGACCAGCCAAGTGACCATGCCCACCAGCCAGGAGCTGCTCTGCACTTTAAAGCCTGTCTCCGCCTTTAAAGGCTGGGGTATGCAGGGGATGGGTTGCAAGGGGCTGTGTGTTCCTCTGTTGGACTACTTGGCCTTGGGGTGGGGCACAACAGCCTGTTCACATGTCTGCACATGGAGTGCCAGTCTGGAGCCCTCAGCTCCATGATGGTCTCACACAGGAATCCATTCTGGCCTTATGGTGGGACAGCTGGGGTAGAGCAGCTGGGGTGCTGCCAGGTTGGTCCAGTAGCGCCGCACCTCCGCGCTGTGGGACCAACCTGGCAGCCCCCCAGCTGCTCTGCCCCAGGCGTCCTGATTCAGGCGCTGCTGAAACTGACCAGCAGCTGACTCCAGGAAGCCCGGGGCAGAGCAGCTGAATTGGGGAAACTGGGGGCAGAGCAGCTCCTCTGGTCCGGCTGCCTGGAGCACTTCTGGGTTCCTGATGGTGCCGGACCATCAGATGCTGGACCAATGGAGTTTTACTGTATTAAGTTTAATACTTTCAGTACAGACACACAAATAACTTTCTTTCAGATAATCATAATGTTTTATAGTTAGAATTAGGATTTAAAATTTCATGTTCTGTGGGAATATTTTTAAATTAATAATACATGTTTCTCAATTTTTACAGGTATTTAATATGAAACCACTACAGATAGTCTTTCCATCACGGGAGGATCCAGATAGCCCAGTTATTGACTTGGATCTTCATCTTCCATTACTATGTTTCAAACCAGAACAGGTGCTACAGGTAATACAATTAACAGATTATGTAAAGTGTCACATGTTTTGCTTGTGTTACCTTTATTCTTTTGTTGTTCTCAGAAAAGAAATTACTAGATGGAATTCAGGTTGAGTGCGTATATCTGTAATTTAGGGTTAAATACATTACAGAGATGTAATTATCCCCAAATCATGCACTTTTAACTATAGTAAATTCAGAGTTAAGGTTAAAGTTAAAAGAAATCGTAACACATTATAGTATATGGAAATGCCCATATTGGGCACTCAGAGAATTTAACTCTTGTGTATTAACACCATGCAATAAATATGTTTCTGATTAAGGCATTTTTGTGTTTGGGGCCCAGATTAGATTAACTTGATTTTTAAAAACACATTAGCTTGATTATTATGGTTTGGCACAAATTACTAAATTTCTTAAAGGACCAATTGTTAAAGCTCCTAAACCAGATGTACTTGTAAATGCTCATAAAATTCATTCTGTACTAAAACAGTAAGTGTGGTAGTTTTGGGACGTATACACAGTTTTTGTGATACATAATAGAGAACTGAATTTCTGTTTTAAATGCAGAACTCAGCCAGCTTTACCAGTGGGGAGATAACAGTTGCCATCATTATATTCATCTAATATAATTAATGAAGAAAGGCAAGATAATATCCTGCCAGCATCCCGTCTTATTTTCTTAATACATCACCATTGTTCCCCTCAGCTGCTTTCTCTTTTGAACTGAAGAGCTGATTGGATCCCTATTTCATCTGTGCCTTTAGTGTGTATGTACATGTGTATGTGCATGTATTTGGTACACAACCAACCTTCCCATCTGAAAATGTTGTGCAGGATCAACTCCTAGTGCAGGAGTCGGCAACCAATGGCATGCTGCATGCCATAAGAGGCACATGAACCAATTTTCAGTGGCATTCAGGGCAGGAGCTCAGCTCTGCCCCTACTCATGCAGTGGTTTTCTGAGCTCAGAAGTTTAAAGCTCCTGTGCAGGCAGGGAGCTCAGCTGATTGGCAGGAGGAGGGGCATTGTCTTGCTGAGCAAGCAGCTAGATGGAGCTGCTTCATGCTTGAAATGGGGCAGCTCCCAGACCAGGTAATAAAAATCAAGATAAGGAGAGAATAATAGGTTAGGCAGATTTGGAGGAGTTGAGGCAGTGGGTAAGTGCGTAATTGGGAGGGTAAGTCAGAGGGCAAGGAGTTTGGAGAATCCCTTGTGCATGGGGGAGAAAGACAGAAACTCAACACTCTCAAGCTTCCTGGGAAGGGCGATAGGGGGCTGACTGCTTGCGGTAGGTGGGGGAAAGAATGGGTAGGTGGGGGTTGGCATTAGGGTGGGTTGGAGGCAGGGAGGTAGTTTGTTTTTGCTGTGCGGTGGAGGAGGTGTGGATAATTTGTTTGTGCTTTAGCTAGGAGTTAGGACAGGCCAGACTGCTGGTGACTGCTACTTTGAGAAGCAGGATTTTATCCCAGCCCCCACCTGGGCTGTGGGGAGCAGATTGCACAAAGATAGATGGGGGAAAGAGGAGGTGGGTGTGTGCTGGCATCTGTACAGTGAGGTGGAAGCAGGGGACAGTTTATTTGAGGTGTCTGACTCATTTGTTGCAATCCAGATTGCTGTCCACTCTGGCTGGTTGGGTTGGAGTGGAGGAGGAAAGCAGGCTGCATTGGCAGGGTGGAGGGTGTGCTGGGAGGACATTTGTATTATTACATTTAAACAAAGTTTACATAGGAGTTAATGGCTTAAGATCTGCACCTTAACTTTTTTATTAATGAAGCTGCTGTAAGTAGGACTATTATTGACTTTAAAAAGTAACGATGGCACACAGACCAGTAAATAGAAGTGAATACTGTAAATCTCAGCACGTCACTTCTGAAAGGTTGCTGACCCCTGTTCTTGTGCTTCTGGATGCATGTGCATGTGGGTAATTGTGCCCAGACAAGTGTAACAATTTCTGCCCCTTTACTTTAAAATGTGTGCAGTCCATTTGTGTGTTTAATCTGTGTATGGTTTTGATTTTTATCCCTGAATTTGGTGCTATGACAGTCTTGCAGCTAGAGTCAATGAACTGGTACCCAGGACTTTTGAGGAGAAATCCTGGTTCCACTGAAGTAATGGCAGAACTCTCATTGACTTCAGTGGAGCTAGTATTTCACCCTGCACTCTGGCTATGTAAAATTCTTTAACTTGTCTTTGCCTCAGTTTATCATTGAGTAAAATGTGTATTACTGTAAAGTTGATCTGATGGTAAACCTCAATTTGAAAATCGTAAAGTACTCAGAGACAAGTTTTTTACAGAATTTGCTCTATGTAACAAGTATTAATATTAATATTCAATATTTTTGTTATTGTTTCCAGATTATAACTTGCATCTTAACTGAGCAGAGGATTGTTTTCTTCTCTTCTGACTGGGCCCTGCTAACACTCATAGCTGAATGTTTCATGTTGTACCTTCATCCTATTCAATGGCAGCACACTTTTGTACCCATTTTGTCACGTCAAATGCTGGATTTTTTAATGGCACCAACATCCTTTCTTATGGGATGCCACATTGATCATTTTCAAGAAGTTAGCCAGGTTTGTCATAGACTATTCCCACTCTTGCTGCCCCTTTTCCCTATGTCTGTTTAGTAAGCCACCTCCTGTCCCTCAATTCAGTCTCTCTTTAAAATAAATTTTTGCCAGATTCTCTACAAAAGTAATTTTTTTTTTAACTTCAACAGAACCGTGTGTGTATGTGTGTGCAGTAAATCAGTTAATTATTGTGTGATTTTTATTCTCGTTTCCTGTCCTCTAGTATGGTCTTTGACCCTTGTTTGTTATGTGTTGTCAGATTTGGGTCTCAATTCTGAAAATATATGCTCTGATGTAGGGATGTAGGGGACTAGTCGACTATCCGATAAGCATATGCTTATTGGATATTCAGCTAGTGACTCGACTAGTTGCTTCCCCCTCCTTGCTGCCTCTATCAGAGAAAGGAAGCAAGGGGAAGGGTGCTGGGAGGAGCCGTCTTAAAAGCTGGTTCCCCAGCTCCATCTCTATGTGGGGGCGGGGAAGGTAAAGGCGCAGTGGGGAACTGGCACTGCTTCCGCCATTTTGAAAGCAGAAACATCGTGGGAGCTCAAGTAGCCCCCCCGCTCACCTCATGCTCCCTACCTTTGAAATGTACAAGAGCCTAACCCTAAGCTCCTGCTCTTATACATTTCAGAAGTAGAGCGCATGGAGCCAGCAGGGGGCTGCTTGATTCCCCTGCTAGCCCTCTGCTCCTCGCTGCACTTCCTCCTTTGAAATGTAGCAGGAGCCAGCAGGTCTCTTGCTACATTTCAAAGGCAGAGGTGCCCTTATCAACTAATCGAATAGTCAATTCAAATTGCATTGATTTTTCAATTAGTTGATTAATCTAAATTTAACATCCTTACTCTATCTAATTTATGCACATGAGTAGTCCCAGTAAAGCCCCTGAGAATTTTCCTGTCAATAACATTACAGGCAGTCCCCGAGTTACGCGGATCCGACTTACGTCAGATCCGCAGTTACGAACGGGGCCCTCCCGCTCCCTGGTCTCCAGCAGACCAGGGAGAGGAAGCAAAGCGGCGGAACACGCGGGCAGCGGACAGCCCAGA